TGATCAGTTTTTTATTAAAGAGTAAAGGGATAAACATTAACATTTTCATCTAATTTCAAAAATATTTTAGAAGCTTTATTTATAATATTTTCATCATATATTATTCATAATATATACATATATCATTTTATATGTCAAATTACATATTCATAATAATAAATAATATTGAGAAAAATTTATCTAAAATGAGTATGTCATATATTTAATCGGATATAGGGTCCAGTTCAGGTTTAAAGGATGATCTGATGGATATTTAAGGTCAGATTAGTTTGGGCTAAATTCGAGTTAAAAAATAATCCGACCAACATTTTGGACTGGATAAGGATAAACCTTAACCTGTCCCAACCCGACCCATGTTCAACCCTACATGACATTATGTTAGCCCAAAAAATGAATAATTATTGGGATGCCATTAATAGAAGCTTGTAGCCTTTAAATAATTATTTTAAGATCTTTGTTCAAAAATTAGCTTCCAAAAAGATGTATTCTGCCTTTTCAAATGTTATAATCTTCCTTTAATTTTATTTACGAGATAACTCTTAATTTTAATAAACAGGTAAAAAACTATAATTTATAAAATCTATCAAGTAAGTCACAACTCACATGCTACTGTTGTCAAATGGGCCCAATAAGTATTTTTTTTAAATTCATTACATATTTAATTTTATATAATTTATTTAGTACACTACTACATATACATAATATTATTATATTAACCTTTCCCCATGATTAAATTGTGTACGATTGAAACGAATAAGAATCATCTCAATTAATAGACATACAAATATATTTTCATATTTTTAACGACAAAAATATTATTTTATTATATTTAAAATAATAATTGTGTCACTACGATCTTAATTTTTATTTGGTTTTCAAGGATCTGACTAGATATCATCCATACTCCATTGAAACATGACAGTGTTGATTCCTTCGTGATTTTCAATTTATATTCTTCTCATAGGATCAAGATTATCCGTCTCGAACAGTGTTCCATTCCATGTCCTGAACCAATGACATATTACTATATTAATAAAATATATATTTTTAAAACAAAATATAGTATTTTCATTGACTTGAGACAGAGAATGAGATACCATTTGAGACAGGTGATTTCTGTCCTCCTCCTTACCTGTTTATTCATTCCGTTTCATTCGCCCTTAATAGACTTACATATGCTTCAGTTTCTGTTTGGTAAAATTTAAGCAGAATCAATATTAAGGATCCAACAAGGAATAAATTTTATTTTCTCTCATTTATCCTTAATCTCTTTTTACGTGTGTTTGATGAATTGTGTATAGAATAATTACGTCAAAATGCATTTCATTGCACTAATCTATTAATATAATTTTATATTTTGAAGTGTTTCTTTAATTTCAAAACTTTTACTTTAGGAAATATTGTATGGATGATCAATTACCATAGTATGTCATTAATTATATAGTCTTTTCGCTGTATACGCTTGTAAATGATTTATAATATTTGTGTATATATATTTTCATATAGTAAATTATATATTTATAGGAAAAACTAACTTTGGAAAAAAATTGATCAAAATTTTATATTTTGTTAATCTACCCTTCACTAATCATTTATTTTTAAATCACAATTGACTCTTAAAAAAATAATATAAATAATAAATAATATAAATATGTGCGTATATATCATTATTATAATGAATAATAAAGTGTATAAATTTTTCCTTATACGAAATTACTTTGATTTCTGGTAGGTTAAGGATGATGGCATATGAATAAATATGGGCATGAAGTTGTTGACTTTGTGGAACTTTGTGTCTATTCTCTTCTTAGCTTTTGCTTTCTTCCTTTACTCTCACACATACCCATCTTCTCTCATGGCTTCTGAATCCTCCAAATCCATTTTTGATTTCACTGTCAAGGTTCTTATTTCTACCTTTTTATATTCTTTCTTTATTTCTCCTCTCCTCTGAATTTGGGTTTGCTCTTCAATTTCTTGAAAAGATTGCAATTTTCCCATGCCCATTAATTGTTTACCTCAATTTGATTTATGGGTCAATGAATAATAATATAATATATGAAATATCAAGTATCAAATAATCTAGGAAATACACTATGCTGAATCATGCTGATATGTTTCTCTATAATTTCTTCAGTTTATTTTTCTGCAGCTTCTGCTTGTTTTTTATTTTATTTAAAAAGGTCAACCAAACAATTTTTTATTTATCAAAATAAACACTTTTTCTGGTGTGAAGGCTTAAAGAAAAGATCTTTATTGTCGTTCTCTGTTTCTTAATTCTTAAATTTTTGTCTTGTGGAAATGAAGTGGTCCAGGTTGTTGATTATTGGTTAGTTTATACTATTCGGACACTTTTGGGATAAACCTAATTGATTTTGTTGTTGCTAATGTTATAGTAAAAGATGCATCATGAACTCTGATCCTTTGTTACTTTAATACCTTTTGCCTTTTGTAATTTATATTTTGCTTCTGTAATGAACTGTAATTGCAGAACATCAAGGGAAATGATGTGAGTCTGAGTCAATACCGTGGAAAGGTTCTACTGATCGTGAATGTTGCCTCGGAATGGTAACACGATTCGATAACTTATTTTTGGTTCATTGCATTTACCAATTTATGTGATCTATAATTCTTGATTTATTTTGATTTTTATGCACCTTAGTGTGTTTGTGTTCACTTCATCTTTATTCATATCATTCTGCCATTAAATCAGATTTTCACAGTATTAATGTTCACTTGTTTTATCCAGCATTAAAGGACAATTATATTAATCTTCATAGATTGTTAGACTTACAATATGATTACAACACCTAGGTTGTGTATATCTTCAACATGATTATTATTCCGAGATGCTTATTAGTATATCTCATTTTTTTGTACAAATGCCTTTGTTTTATGCATCTGTGTTAGGTGATTTTAATCAACCACTCAGTTCTTAATCAATAGAAACTTCGGCTTGAAAACACAATATATGGCATTAATAATATCTAAGTCTTTATTCTTTACCCTGGGTTCCCTGGCCCTGGAGGCTGTCGTGCGTGATGTTTGTCGTGATCTTTTAAAATAAATTTATGTATTCTCGGACAAGTGGAAAGAGTTGTAGAAATTGAGCTCATTGAGTTGGACGCATGTAGCCCATTCCACCTAGTAGAGTAAGGGTCGTTGTTTGTATTAGAATTAAAAATTTGAAATTAAAATGAGCTAATTACATGACATTACTGTTCCCCACTTTATTTTGGCTACACTGATAACATTCTAAATCATCACTGCAGTGGTTTGACACAAACAAATTACAAAGAATTGAGTGTACTGTACGAGAAGTACAAGGGTCAAGGTTAGTCACTTTCATGAAGAAGATAAGAAATAAATATATGTCAACTATACTTTATGTGGTTGGAAATTTTGTAACACTGATTTGTGAATTGTCTCTAGATTTTGAAATCTTGGCATTTCCATGCAACCAGTTTGGTAGTCAGGAACCAGGAACCAATGAAGAAATTGAGCAAACTGTATGTACAAGGTTCAAAGCCGAGTTTCCCATCTTTGATAAGGTGATTTACGATAAGCATATTGTAATAGACAAATGTTTCTTTGTTTTTAATTTGGAGCTCCCTATTCTGCCAACATTTTTCCCAGTGTACTGTTGTATCGATCAGTGCTGTAAATTGTTCTGCATCAACACACTCCATTCATGCATCCAGCAGACTATATACTTCATATTTTCCCTAGCCAGATTTTGCGTGCATTATTTTTTTTGCTATGATATATGCAAGATACTGTTCCAAGCTTCCAGAGATTTTGGATGTGCCACTTTACATGGAAATCATGCTAAAACAATTATATTATTATAGGTTGAAGTCAATGGAAAGAATGCAGCACCAATTTATCAGTTCTTGAAGAGCCAGAAAGGAGGAATATTTGGAGATGGTATCAAGTGGAACTTCACAAAGTTCTTGGTAGACAAAGAAGGAAAAGTTGTTGACAGATATGCTCCTACAACCTCACCTCTAAAAATAGAGGTTAAAGATATTTTAGTGCTTCTATTTTAAGTGAGATTGTCTATACAATGATGGCACTATTGCCATAAATAAATGCTACTCATCTTGTACAATAAATAGCCCATTCATAAAACTCAAGTTTAGTTTCAACTGAACCACCTTTGTCCTTATGTTTCCTCTTGCAGAAAGATATCCAGAAGCTCTTACAATCTTCTTGAGTATCAAGATTTGATCAGAGTATCCTATGTTGCAGAGGTTAGTTTTGCAGTCATTTAGTTTTCTATAGAATGTAGATTCTCTATTGTACAATAGAATGTGCAATCTCATTTCTCTGTCAACCTTCCACATTCTCATTTTCATGGCTCCCTCAATTTGGGTTTTTTGTTGTTTTCTTCTAGATAAAACATTTCAAAGTACTTAAATGCCTTTAGGAGAATTTTACAATTACATTTTTGTCCATTTCCCTTTTAATTAGATTTTTAAAGAGACTGAAAAACAATATTCTTACATTATCATTACTCTACTTATATCAGGAGATGTTTAACTTGATTTGTGTTTCGTTCCTCCCCCTCCTCGCCCCCTGATTACTCTCATTCTCTTTCCCTCATAACTCATAGACAGACGCATCGATTGAAGGATTTCCACTTCAGCTGTTTACTCTAATAGCCATGACAAAACTATATCAGCTGATGCTTTGTCTTGTTATTCTATACAGGAGGCCATATGCAATCTCTGCAAAGGACAAGTTGCTTCTCAAAGCTCTCTATGATTCTACCTCAATTTAATTGTTGTACTAGAAATTCTTAAAATATATCTTGGTGTATTTGGATTATGCAATAAGTGTAATTTGGTGTTTTCACTCTTGCCAAAACAATAAAACAATGTATTTGAATGCTTGATTAAGTTATTTTGTATTACACATCAAAAACTATAATATTATTCAGATTGTCCTCCATGTTGTAGTTGTAAACTTTTTCTGAGAGTAATGCTATTTCTTAGATTTAAATTCATAACCTATTTGTCATAAGTTAAACAACTTTATATTTATTGCGGAGATTTGCTTTTTATTTATTTTTGAAATAAGCAATTAGAAATTTAAAACTTTTATGGCTCTTTAAATTTTTATTAATTAAAAATATAAATAACAGTTTTGGAAAAAACAAGTATTTAGTGTTAATTTTATTTTTGTTAGAGATTTAATGTTAAAAAGTAATTTTATTTAGAATTCATTTGTAAACAGTTGGATATTTGTGGATAACAGTATAATTGGCACAACCACAAAACGACGCCGTTGATGATTTATCACCTTCATCTTCCCTCGTTAGCCCAAAGCGCATACATTACTCACTAGCCTCCCACTATCATTATATTCAAGTTGAAAAAATGCAGATTGATATTTCATAATCTCTTCATTTTTCAGTGAAAGAGAACAAATTTGGCTTCAAAATTCGTTTTTTCTTATCATTATTTCCCACTTTTCTAATATAACTCCTAAAATGGCTTCCACAATTTTCAGAACCTTTCAAGTTCACCCCTTTCTGCTTTATCCAACATCATTACTCAACAGAACAAATGGGGTTTTATTCTTCACAACTACACAATCCAAAACACACAAAAACCAAAACCCACAAACACAAACCAAAAAGGTTTCAGCTTCAGCTTCAGCAACAAGTACACAGTCCAAAAAACTTGACAAAGTCCTAAAAAACTATGAACCCATCATTGGCATTGAAACCCATGTTCAGCTCTCAACTCTCACCAAAGCCTTTTGTTCTTGCCCTTACAATTATGGGTCTTATCCCAACACTACCATTTGCCCCATTTGCATGGGTTTGCCTGGTGCTTTGCCTGTTTTGAATTCCAAGGTTATTGATTTTGCTGTCAAATTGGGACTTGCACTTAATTGCAAATTGGCTTTTAATTTCAAGTTTGATAGGAAGCAGTATTTTTACCCTGATCTTCCAAAAGGGTATCAGATTTCTCAGTTTGATGTTCCAATTGCTAGTGGTGGTTACCTTGATGTGGATATTCCTGTGGAGTTTGGTGGAGGACACAAGAGGTTTGGCATTACTAGGGTTCATATGGAAGAGGATGCTGGGAAACTGCTACATACAGAAAATGGCAATTACTCACAGGTAGTTTCTTTATTCCTTCTTTTAGCTGGCAACCCTTTCTTTTTGTTTTCAAATTATTGTTGGATTTAATTTAGTCTTTAACATGTTTTTTTATTTGTTTTGTATCTATTTTCCTGAACAGAATTGTTTGAAGTTGTAATAATTTTCATATGGGGGGTAGCCTAATAGTTAGAGGTAGAGGGAGACGAAAAAAAGATATAGGCGAAATGGTAAAACCATTAAGAATGACTTACACATAAATAGTTTGTCCATAGATATGGATTTACAATAGAACATTATGATATCGCTTGATTCATGTAGTGATTCCCATCTAGTGGGAAAGGGCTTGATTGTTGTTGTAATAAGTTTCATGTATCTTTTAACATTGCGTACTATGTGTAGATGCATTTGTTCATTAATATGTAATCTCGATATTGGATAAGTTTTGCACATTTCTTGGCGTATAATTCATGTTTTGGAACACTAGAACTCTTCGTTTGACTACTCATTGTCTTGAATAATTACGATGGGCTCAATAACCTTTATCCAAAAAAAGGTGGCCTAGTACATGATGCTCTCACCTAGTGGGGTATGGGGAGGCTATATATACGCAGCCTTACCCTCGCAAGTCAAGAGACCGTTTCAAGGATTTGAACCCATGATCTCCAAATCACAAGACAAGCAACATTAGTGTTGCGCCGAAGCTCACCCTCTTGCTCCATTACCTTTATCTATGATATCATATAAGCATGTTAAATATGGTGGTCTTACATGACAGGTTGATTTAAATAGGGCAGGGGTACCTTTGCTTGAGATAGTTTCTGAGCCTGATATGAGAAATGGCATTGAGGCATCAGAGTACGAAGCAGAATTACAGAGGTTAGTTCGGTATTTGGGAGTGAGTAATGGCAATATGCAAGAAGGTTCACTTCGTTGCGATGTAAATGTCTCAGTTCGACCAATTGGGCAATCAAAGTTTGGGACAAAGGTACCTAGCTATTTCTCATATTAAAACTATTTAGAGACTTTTTACGCAGCTATTATTGGACTTTTGGAACTGGTACTTTGATACATTATTATTGGGAAAGCTTGGTTGTGTGGTGTTCAAATTCTGTGAAGGCTTTCTTGATGCTCCGTATTAATTGTTAATATTATCCCTCCTCTGATTAGTCATTACTATGTATGAACCCGAGTACGATTTTTCTCCCTCTATGACAATAACAATGAAAGATACTGAGAATATAGTTTACAGTTAAACTCATATTGTGGCATGCTATTTTCCTTGTTTGAGTTACCAACATTGTCATGATAATTAATAAATATTTGGAGGCTAATTCATGATTGTTTTGTTTTTATCCAAGCATGAACTGCATGAGCAAAACCGATATGTTTTTCAAGTTATATGTCAGAATATATTGTGTTTTGATGTCCTGTGAGATATACTTCTTATAAGCAAATCGTAATGTGTGTGACATCTTTGCTATGATGCACAGATATGAGAAACGATACTCTGACTTATGAAAAGTACAATATGTTTAGCATACACATACAAAATATGCACACAAATTCATAAAACATAAACTTATTACTGTTGTTCCAAAATTTCAAATTAAGAACATCCTTTTTAGAGATGGCTAAATACAAAATGAAAATTGTATTGTCATAATAAATCATTGCTTATTACCTATAAGTAGTAATAATATCAATCTAATTCCTTCATTGTCATCATTAGAATTGTTCTTATTAATCAGAATAAGCACTTTTTTATAGGTGGAAAAAAGAATAGCGTATCGCTTATGTGGATGCATTTCTTTTTCTCCCTTTTCTATTAATACCTATGCTCTGTTTTTTATCTCTCTACACTTCCACTTGGCAAATTGGGTGCTCTATCTCTCTACACTTCTACTTGACTGATTTTTTGTTATATTTTTCTCTCTTAAAATGCTTTTTTATACAGTAGTTAGTAGTTTGGGTGTGTGGAAAGGTAACGGAAAGGTGTTTTAAAAGTATCCGAGATTATGATTTATTTTTTAAATAAAAATTGATTTCGATACTTCGTTGATACGCATTGATGAAGTATAGGAGAATATCGGTATCAAAGGAAAAATGAAGTATTGGTGCATCATAGTGTCTTTGTATAAAAATCATTGGCACTTGTATTTTACAGAAATAAAATTACACAAAATGACTTTGCTCTTTCTTTTTGTTGCAATGCAATTTGAATGAAAAGTTGAAAACACTTGAACTACAGATTTAAAAGCTAATATAATTAATTGATCTGGCAGGTTGAAGTTAAAAATTTGAACTCATTTGCATCAATGGGTAGGGCCATTGATTTTGAAATTTCAAGGCAGGTTCAACTCCATAGTCAGGGCCAGGAAGATCAGATAGTACAGGAAACTCGTCTATGGGATGAAGGCACTCAGGTTAGTACTATAAAGTGATTTTTTGTTTTAGTTTTCTTTCTAGTGTTCAAGGTAAAGGATAGTATTCTCTTCCTTCATACTTATTTTCTTAAGTAACTTTATTATTCTGTTTAGAGAACAATTACAATGAGGAAAAAAGAAGGGCTTGCTGATTATCGATATTTTCCAGAACCGGACCTTCCTGCAGTAATCATTTCCCAAGAGTATGTTGATGGTATTCAAAGTTCTTTACCAGAGCTTCCAGAAATTAAGCGTAGAAGATACGAGAAGATGGGCTTAAGCATGCAAGATGTTCTTTTTCTGGCCAATGACAAAAATGTGAGTTCTCTGCTGTTGCAAAATTTTGCATCTGTGTGATGCACATGACTGAAACAAGTTTCACAAAATTACATTTTGTTATTGAATTAATGTGCTAAATTTTTTTATAGAAATATTTTAAATATGCAATAGAAAAGTAACTCCTAACTACGACTCTACCAGATATCAGATGTCACACTATTGTACTTACATTGTTAGGAAATGTATTATAATAGAAATATCATATGTCGACAATGCATAATGCCAAGAACTAAACCTGATACACTTAAAAATATATTACTTAATAAGTTTTGCACCTTTTTCCCTATTTTGCTCCTCTACCCTCTGCAGTCAGCAAGGAAGACCCTTTACTTTAGATTTAGGTCACAAATAATAGCTTCTGCTAGCAACTTGTTACAATCCAAAATACAATCTCAAAAAAACTGGCTATGAGGTATACTTCTACAAATAACATACAGGCTGGAAAGCCATTATATAATTATAGAATACTCTTCTTTCATTTGGTGCAGCCATGCAGGGCTTAATGCAAATACATGTTTCAATGAGAACACCAAGAAACGTTCCAATGGCTTACTTGCATAATGGTGTACTTTGAAAGTAGCATACAACAAACCAACTGATGTAATTCCTGCAAAATAAAAACACTAGGTTTAATGAAAGAGAACTCGATCAAATATGGTACAGTAGAAAGCTAAAACGTAAATGTTAATAGTGTAATGTTACAAATCGTCTAACATGATTTATTTTCTTTTTCTAATGGATGTATTAGATTGCAGATTATTTTGATGCTACTATTGCAAAGGGTGCCGATGCAAAGCTGGTTGCCAACTGGATAATGAGCGATATTGCTGCCTTCATGAAAAATGAAAAGTTTACCATTAACGAAATTAAGCTTGTACCTGAAGAGCTGTCTGAGTTAATAGCTTCCATTAAAGGTGGAACCATCAGTAGCAAGATTGGGAAGGAGGTATAGTTTGATTTGCCATTGCATAGTTAGGGTATAAGCTTCAGCAATGCACTCCTCACTTTGCTCATTCTGCGTGTTTTTCTCATTGGAACATTAAGCTGCAGCCGTCATATTTCCAATCATATCTTTCAGTTTTCCTCATTAAATTTTCAGAGGCTTGTAGTTAATTCTGTTTGTGTATTTAAATTAATGGCCACATCATGTGTGGCCATTCTTTTATAAAATATGCTAACCTCTGTAGTCTGATTATTTGGCACCCTTTATGATCATTCAACTTTAAAAATTTGTTCCATTTGTTTTGTTTTGTTTTTCATCCCACATACCATATTACTATATTAGACTTTGGATAAAAAAGCCAAATTTGATGAGTCTTTGAATGGATTTGTGCAGTACACTGCAGTTCTGTCCATGTATTATATCTACTCTATTTATTTGCCTGATAAATTGAAAAAGAAGAAAAGACAGTCAGACAATTTTGGCTGGATAATTTTTGTTTTGATTATTTTGGTACATTTTTGCATTCTGTACCTTACAAGTTGTTCATGTGTTTGCAGATCCTTTTCGAGATATTAGCCAAAGGTGGAACTGTTAAGGGGCTCATAGAAGAAAAGGATTTGGTTCAGGTTAGTTGTAGAGTATGGTGTAGTACAAACCATCACTGGAATTTAATGTAAAATTATGTGATGTTGATTGGTAAGCATTCAACAAGAATTGTTATTTTATGAGCTTAGTTGCAACTTAACGACTTTATCGGATTACTTACATCATGATATTTTAGATGGTACCTTTTAGCTTAAAAAAAGAAGTCTTTGTTTTACATTTAGTATGAACCATCTGCTTTGGCGCTGCTCCACACTTTAAATTGTTGATGCTGAGAAAGAAAATGTTTTAACCGGCTTGCAACTTTGGAAATGACAGATAGTAGATCCTCTTGAGATAGAAAAAATTGTGGACAATGTGATTGCAGAGAATCCGAAACAGTTAGAACAATATCGTGGA